GCTGAGATCGGCGTTAAACAACAAACAAACAAAACAAAAAGGACAAGGAGAGTTGAAGGTTCGTGGAATCTGAGAGATTTTCTAACATGGGTTAAGTTGGAAAAACACAAACAATTGTTTGTGGAGTAAATTATTTAGATCGGGGCTCTCGACGAAAGTGAAAGTTTAAAACCGTAACACTCGTATTGAAATCAGCTGCCGCGCGCAACACAGTATCCTATCAAAAAACCAATAGGAGAGGAAATGCCTCCTTGGCTGGACATCATACTGGTCAGTTATCAGCTTTAGATGTCCAGTGGTATTATAACCGCAGGTCTAAATCAATACTATTGACATCATTTCTCCCCCTTTGTGGGGGAACGGTTGGCCAGGTCGTCTAAGGTTTGTCAGTACCATACCAATACTCATGGGTTTCATCAAAGTGGTAATTTAAAACGTCTGAGGCCTGTATCACTTATACCGTTATATAAACGGCATACTGTTCAAAGCGGCGTTAAATCCATTCACTCACTTACGCAATTCAAACACAACCTGATACATTAAATACACGTCTATCTGTAATAGTAATCGGGCATGTCCACCTTGGACATTTGAGAATTCTTTCAATTGATGGGGATTCATGGAAGAATAAGCCACAACAGGGCTTTCCCCCCACATTACACGGAAGCTGACAGGGCGTGATGTAACTGCATTAAGCCCAGCTCACTCACTCTCCACTTTTGTAGATTTAAGGTTCCCAGTATCAAATGTTGTCACACATGACAACTTTCAAAGGACTGTGGCCACTTGCTATCAGGTCAATCAGTTTATTTCGTAAAGAGGCATGCATATTTCATACCGTAAAGCGCATGATAGCAACAGATTATAATCTCATTTAGAAATGGATTTGTACATTCATGTTGTTGTGTAGTAGGATACAAATAAGTAAATTTAGCTAAAAAGAGTGTGAAATCTATTTTCAAGAGGGGGCAGGGGTGGCCCCGTCGTCTAAGGCGCCGCAATTCGCTGTGCAGATTTACGTCCCTTGGACACACCAGAAACCTATGACTGTGGGTTCGAATCCCGGTTCGTCCAGATTATGTTTCTAGGTTTTTTCATCACCATACCCGTGCTCGTGGCTTTCACCGAAGTGGTAAAGGTCTGAGACCCGCATCACCTCGTGGCTTTCCTCCCACAATAAGCTGATACGTCGTAGTACAACTGGAAGTCTGTTCAAAGCGGCGTTAAACTATACTCACTCACTCACTCACTCACTCACTCACTCACTCACTCACTCACTCACTCACTCACTCACTCACTCACTCACTCACTCACTCACTCACTCACTCACTCACTCACTCACTCACTCACTCACGCACGCACGCACGCACGCACGCACGCACGCACGCACGCACGCACGCACGCACGCACGCACGCACTCACTCACTCACTCACTCACTCACTCACTCACTCACTCACTCACTCACTCACTCACTCACTCACCCACTCACCCACTCACCCACCCACCCACCCACCCACCCACTCACTCACTCACTCACTCACTCACTCACTAACTCACTTGTCATTTCCGTGTTCTCTGTTATTAACATCGTGGCCAACAATGCCGATCCGATAAATGTGAGCGCTATGACATGGTTATGACATAATATACTTATCTGTGTGCGTTGCCAGGATTCCAGGAACAAAAAGACCTTCTTTGATTGTTCTAAGAGTTAGGGTTAATCTTTTGCGACAAGAATTTGTTGGTACATTTGCTAGACCCTACAATGCATCTCTCCTGGTACGGAGTGTTATGGAGCCTTATATAGAGATCCAGGGCAAAAGTTGATGGTGATATTGTTTTGTTACATCAATCTTTACACTTATAAGCGCAACTGGTTTAGTGAAGTGACGGTAGGAGCGGGTCTGTTGAAGCGCCTTAAAAGGGCAGTTTATGATCATGTTTCTCACAACCCTTTCTTAATCATATTTGTTTGTTTGTTTGGTGTTTAACGCCGCACTCAGCAATATTCCAGCTATATGACGGCGGTCTGTAAAATAATCGAATCTGGACCAGACAATCAAGTGATTAACATCATGAGCATCGATCTACGCAATTGGGATCGATGACATATATCAACCAAGTCAGCGAGCCTGACCACCCGATCCCGTTAGTCGCCTTTTACGACAAGCATTGCCGCCTAAAGAGATCGCAGTGCCGTGTACGAATATATCATTACCTTGTGCTTATGAATCTATCAAATAGTGATTATACGTGAAGGTGAACGTATGCTGCCCCACCGGGAACACCCGTCACTAACACACGCAAAGGCATGTCAATTGTTCACCTAAAACACACACGGTAATGGTGCACGCCAAAATATAGAATTGCACCAAACATCACAATAGCCACTCATGCATCATATTTGGAAATTTCCTCCACATGTTGGTTGTAAAACGTGTTGAAGGCCGTACTGAGGCATTGAATGTTGTAACCCTGATCAAACAACTTTTGAACAAGAACCGAATGACGCTGTATTCATAGAAAGAGCATGCTTGATTGCATGTCAAAAGTTGTGGAATGAAGACACCAAAGGCAGGTGCTGCTGAAATAGTACTCGACATACAGGAAAACATACGTATCATCCCTCGAGGAACATAAGGCCAGAAGAGCCCCTTGGCTCAACCCTTCACAGCGAATTGCGTCGTCTTTTACTGCATGGTCACTCGTGCCCTCTCATTATAAGTACCGTGGTTTATGTTAATTATTATATTTATCATTATGTTACTTATTAACTGTCATATACTAAAACCATACACATGGTGTGTGTTAGTTTAGCCTTATAAAGACCGCCTCCGTGGTCTAGTGGAGTGTCTGCCCGGAGAGCGGAAGGTCAAGGATTCGATCCCCGGCCGCGTGATACCGAAAGACGTTAAACGAAGGTACTTGTTGTTAACCTGCCTGTCGCTCTGTATTAAGTTGCTTAAATAAGGACTTGTCGACTCCGAGTCAGTCTGCTGTGTATTGATGTTTAACTACGGCATGGTATCACAGTGTCCTAGCACTATAAACTCGGCACTACTCCGATACAGTACAAGTACAAGCACACACACACACACACACACACACACACACACACACACACACACACACACACACACACACACACACACACACACACACACACACACACACACACACACAGACACACACACACACACACACACACACACACAGAGAGAGACACACACACACACATACACACACACACACACACACACACAGATACACACACACACACACACACACACACACACACACACACACACACACAGACACACTAACACAGGCATGCATGACGCCATGAAATTACAACGATATTAAACGCGACGTGTAACCACATTTCTCCTCACCTAGCTTTAATTGTTAAATGTATGTGCCAGTGTTCTTACAAAACAAAAACACATCATATACAAGATTAATGGTATTGTTATGTCGCATATATTCTCCAACATTATAAAACACGGATCTCTTGTTTATGGCGTGATTCACAAACACAAAAAGATAATATTTATGTATAACGATACAAGTGTTTCTGCATCCATAAACTTATGTATACTGCGCAATACATGTCATTCAAACCACTTGTTGATCAACCAACAAACCACGACATGCTCCTGGCAATGGTAATAGTAATTCACATGCATAAAATATGCATATTGAGCGTGACGCATCATGGGTAATCATGGGTGTGTGTTGATCCTGTCTTTTGTGACGTCCCAAAGCAGGTTCTGCATGGCGTTAAAGAGATAAAATATGACATACTGTGCATGTGTATGATAAATGAGAACTAGGTCAGGCATGACATTACATGTGTGTCTATATAATAAGAGAGTGGACGGTCATCAGGAAAGGTCACCACACAAGAATATAATATTCGTTAACACCACTGGTCTGATGTAAGTATAACAATTGTCATTCTTTGTGCATTTATTACTTCTAAAGTTAATGTCGCACGAGTTATGATTAATGCATACAAGGAACAAACATTATGCCTTACTTTTTATAAGGAAGAGAATTAATTGATGCCAACCTCTTTATTATGAGGAACAAAACGTTTGGGAGGATATACTTACTCCTTCATCGGGTGAATAAATGCTATGAAGCAGAGAACTGTAAAGGGTTGGATACCACTTATCGATTACTAATCACCTGTTAGCGTCAATTAACTATTGCCGTCCCTTGTTAAGTTTCCACCTTCGTTATCTTATTACTTTTGTTGTTCTTACAGGTACATACATATGTACCAAAAGCCGTTAAAAGATGGCACTTGTTATTACCCTGCCTGGCGCTCGGCATTAAGGGGCTAAAACAAGGACTGGCCAGCTCGGAGTCAGTATACTGTGTCTGAGTGGGGTATTTATGTTAAACTGCGGCATGGTATCTCAGTAGGCTAGCACTATAAAATCGGCATTTATTCCGGACTAGTACAAGCAGCCACACACGCGTGCATGCACCTCACAATAAGTGCAATAATTTTGAACGCGACATTAAACCCCCATTTCACCCCACCTCATCCCAATTGGCCCATAACGATCCAACACATTTTAAGACTATTTAATCTGCTAATGTTTAATTGTTTTCAGATTCACTATGACATCACATGGTACAGTACCGTTTACCATTCTTACGTGTGTCAGCGTTGCTCTGGTGCCTGGCGACGATGCATCAATGACGACAATGCCATCTTCTGTGGACACAGAATAACAGTAAATGTAGACTTTGATAGGCATTTAGAAGTTGGAAGAACATGAATATATGACACATTTTTAATGGATAGCAACTCCCTTTTTCTTTGTACGACGTTTCAGAGCTACTTCTTGCTCCTTCATCAGCGAAGTAGCTCCTACAAACGTTGTTTCTCCTACACAATTAAAAATATGTAATCTGTCTGGTAATATTGTTTATTGGCCTGTACTACGAATGAAATCGACTGATTTGCTTTTTTATATTGTGCCAGGAGGTACTAATTGTTTTCGAACATTCGACTTGATCATTTGTAGTGATGTGTTCTTTCTGTATATAAGTAATGACTTCAGAACCATTGGCTTTTGGCAGATCCCCGCCCATTTCGTGGTTTTGGCCGTGTATTCCGACCCTTCCGATGCCTGATGGGGTGTCGGTTTGGCAACGCCCCGTCTGACTGTACGTGTCCACGTCGACCAGAATATACCTGTGCTGTGAGTAGAATGGTAGCTTCTCTCTTTTGCAAAATGAAATGTAATTTTAGAATCAAGGTGACACACTCACTCTGAATGTCGTTCTATTTACTTCATTTTTAATCATTTGCAAGGTGGGACACACATACTGACGTTGTCCTCTGGGTTTGTTTTGTTGGAATGAAGTATTGTACTGAATGAGGTCGATCTAATGTTATGATTGTTAATTGTTATTGTTATTTGTGGTATTAGCGGGAACCCCTGCCGTTCATACCACACGTAACACTAATGCCAAGTCTTTTTTGGTTCCATAAGCGGAAAGTCGGTGGTTCGATCCCCAGTTGCGTCATACAACACGACGCTAAGTGCAATAATTTTAATATGACAACCCATCTGCAGGATGTCACGCCAGGTGAACGTTCTAATCACCCAGCTGACGTGGCAAATTTTGAATTCTCGTTTCAAGAGAAGCATCCAGAACAGCTTATCGGTATTCTGTAATTCGAAAACTTAAACGGAAGTTCCGAATGGAGACTAATAAAAGAGGCTTTACTTTGTGGGCACTACTTCAATGGCATCCAATCAGAAGGAAGTACTATAGAGCGGGCATATTTGTTCTTCTGTGGGTTGGCTTTTCTTCGACTGAAATGTCTGAAATTTCAGAATCCAGGTCAACGAACGAAATTGTTTTGGAATTATTAAAGCATCAAAACCCTTTTCATAACCATGCAACATCTCTGCTGCTCTGCGATTCCGACTACAGTATACTGATGTGTTTAAGAATCAACATACCATGTGTTCGCTACATAAAGGGAGCACCCGTCACAAACACATGCATATGCAAGTCAATTATTCACCACCTCACCTAACGTGACTCCTATTGAGGGTTTATCATATTTTGACGGGGACAGTTATCAATTAGAACCACATAGTCCGTTCAGGCAATGGTTTCCTATCGGTTAATGTGTAACCCATAATGTGTTTCAGCAATTGAAATGTACAGATGACAAGGTGTGTAAGGTGTTGTTTGGCCGATTCCCCCGCTGTGTTAGAGAACAGGCAGGTAAGTCGCACAGCGTCTCCAAATGATCGTAGCGTAACGATAGTATTACTCATCACATACTTTTACAAATCTACACTGTTACTGTCGTCTTATTAAAATTTTAATGCAACACGGGGTCCTGTCATGCAATAGAGACGTTAAAAACCATTTAAATGAAATATAAATATTGCCAATGCAAGAGAATATCCACTCTAGATTATCCTCCATAACAGATTCCATTTGGCGTAAAGGGCAAAATAGCTGTGAAAATTATATGATTGGACCACTGGAATCAGTGATGACACCAGGTGTTAGCGAAGAGGGTGAGCATCTCCTGCCCTAACACATTGAACACCGCACAAAACCTGATCATGTGCCTGGACACCTCGCCTTTATTTCTAAAATGAATATTTTTTCTATACATACCTATGATTCCAGAGCTTGGACCGGTTTTATCCGGATTGATAGATTTATAAGAATATTATTAAATTTTCAAACTTCATTTATCTGATCTCACAACTGTACGAAGCCCAATTTCATAACCATAAGGCATAACGTACCGTTGTTGTGTTACATATATTTTGCAGGATTTGTAGGGTTTGTTACATGCTGGTATTGTCATTGTTTGTACGTGCTTGTCATTCCATTCCCTTTGACGATCCGAGTTAGAATTGGTCTTCAGTAACTCATGCGACTAACGGTTTTGGATGGGCAGGCTCGTTGACTTGGTTGATGCATGTCATCGCATCCCAACTGCGTAGACCCATGCTCATGATGTTAATTACTTGATTGTCTGGTTGCGATTATTTTCAGACCGCCGTTATATAGCTGGAATATTACTGAGTGCGGCGTTAAACAACAAACAAACTTTTTAATCACCTTGGTTGAGTTCTCTGCATGAAAGAAATGTTTGAAATTCTTCTGCTGTTATGCGCCGTGCAAATGTTGGGATATTGCCGAAAGCGGCGTACAATCATGCTCATCCAATCACTCTTCACAAATTAAAGGTATTGCAATAACAAGTGTTTGAATGACCACGTGTGTGGTTTCATTCTATACTTTAGTGTGAAAGAGTTTTCTAAATTTGAGAAAAATGATATTTGTATTGCAGTGAACATAACACTTGATATTTCACTGCATTAAACACAACACTTTGACGTAGCTGTTGTCGTACAAGAGTTACCTCCCCGCTAAGTGTCTCCCGATATTGTAACTGTCTTGCCCGTACATAAACTGTTAGTTCCACATCGACAATGCAAAATATAAAGAGATGGTCATTTATGGAGTTAATATCGCTTTTTGCCTTTGTTATTCTCTTGAAAATGTTATCTCATTAACTGTACATTTCTCATTTAACTCGTCAATGGAGACTCGTTTCGCAAAGCGCCATTTTTGTAACTCGACCAGCGTGTATTCCTTCGCTTCCAACAACTTTCTCGTAGGTTTCAAGAACATTTTTAGTTGAAGTTGATTTTGTATTATATCATATCCAAATGTACGATAAATAATGCAAACTCGGAATTACTTTTGAAGTCACAATTACAAGGGGTGGTGAAACGCCGCTGCGTGTTAGATAGGGTGAATTTACATGTATCAACGTCTTACATTTGCAATGACAAAAACAATCCGGTAGACAACTACACAATAAGTATATAAGACATAGGTTATTCCACTGTCTCGTCAAATATTATGTTTCTCTCATCTTGTAACGGGGGAAAGGAGAGTATCTACTTTCCCACATCACTCGATGAGAGAAACATGATATTTCATTCGACACAAGAAATTTCCTCTTTTTATACACCTGTAGATTGCGAACTGAGCAAGGACGCAGGGACATGTTCAGAGCTGGTGCACCGTTTCTACTACAACAAAGCCACCAGAAGGTGCGAGGAGTTCCACTATGGCGGCTGCGGGGGTAACGAAAACAACTTCCGGAACAAGAGGACGTGTATGAGAACCTGTAGAAAGAGAGGCGCCTTCTTTAACAGACCTTAACATTGTAACTGTAGTAAATCCATGCTTTACTTGAATTCCATGTAGACCAGAGCCATATTGTCGTATCCACATAAAGTTGATCACACGTCATGCCTCATTGCCAAAAATTGAGTATTGTCTTGAATATTGTCCATCAATCGTTTTACAATAAAATGTGTTAATTTTGCATAGTTTTTTTCTTTTTTTAAATGCCTCATGATCAATACGCTGTGCTTATTGAATATGTTCGAATCATGATCTTGTTTTTTGGGCACAAACACCTCTACGTACGTCAATGTTTACGATCTTTTCCATAAGGCCAAAGGATATAAATATCTTGTTTTCTCAGTATTGTGTGAAATATGCTGTAGGTTGGACAGCTATATTATTTATTTTGAGATTCATTGTTTTGATAACAATATTTTCACCATTGAAGGTCCGGTTTTCAATTGGTCTTCAACAACCCATGCAGGTCGTAAGAGGTTGCTAACATAACGGGATCGGGTGGTCAGGCTCAGTGACTTGGTTGATGCATGCCATCACATCCCAATTGCGCAGATCGATGTTCATGATGTCAATCACTGTATTGTCGTGTTCAGATTCGATTATTAATAGACTGCCCTCACATTGCTGGAATAATGCGCTAAACAAACAATTAAACAGACAAACAAACAAAAACAAACAAAACTAATATTTTCATAAAATTATATAACTTTATTTCTCCATGAAGCCTTGTGGTATAAAGCGCAATAATCCGCTCTCAAAGTTGCATCCCTTCGCCGTGCTATGATCCGCTGATTGTGAATTCAAATCACAGATTCGCCAAGATATTAATCCTTGAATCGATCCGTCAGGCCCAGGCCCATGTTGAAACAAACTCTGATCTCAAGCCAAAAAAAACCCCTTCCTCCCTCTTATTTACAAGGAAAAAAAGTGGATATGAAATCTTTCCCACTTCTACGAACGCCGACATTTCTGTCATTTGTGCCGTGTCACCTGGGTTGAGTGATGGCTGGAGTAGTTTGAAACGTCTTTCTGGTGAACATTTATGTCCTCTTCCAGTTCGTCAGCGAAGGTAAATACGCATGATATGTTTGAAATGGAAAAAACACAACAACGTTAATGAATGTTGTCTCTGTTCGGAGGCTCGACGTCCAAACTGTATGTGTTGGCCGACACTTTGGAATAATGTACACAACGGTGTCCGTCTGGAAGCGCCAAATGTGATTTTTAAGAGGACAACTCTTCGTAGCGTTCCCGGGACCAGTGAGCGCTCAGACACGGTTCATTGACACCACATTTACCGCTCCCGGTACCAGGAAAATAGAACGAGAACAGAGAAGTACCGCTCATCAGTTCCATTACCGTATTTATGCATGTTAAGTTAAAATGTTTAAAATTTTCAAATGTACATATTCCTATCAATGTTCAGTAACGATGAAGTAGTTCCGACAAATGGACTGTATAGTCAGTGTCAGACAGATGGTGGCTGACCAGGTCCTCCTTCAATGACCCGGGGTGGGCGTCGATCTGGCGGTAACGTCGCTTACGAGGAGGTTCAGAGTGGTTGCCGACCATGCCAAGGATGCTGACTTCGGTGTTGGACTGCTCTCTCTGGACAGCTGCACCCCTCACAGATGTTGGAGTGGCTCTTCCTGGCTAGATGGCTGGTCTTGTGGTGCCACTCTTCAAGGCTGTGAGTCCGATGATCAGAGTTGCCAAAGTGGTTCTAGATGCCTCAGCTCCTTTCAACCCAAGATGTTGGGACAAAGTATATGCAGGCGGTAATGTATCGGCAATCGTCTCCAACCACACATCTTCCAGTGGTCCAAGGGACCGGGCAGCGGCACGCCTAACAACCTTCACCTAAATACCTTATATGTTTTTATTTTAATAAATTTCTATCTTCTAGAGTAACGTAATAATAAAGCGTACAAGAGGAACGATGCTGCACCGTACTCAGCTCTAAAGATATACTAGAAAGAGTACTAGAAAGGGTGACGTTACCGCCTATGTTCACACATTTACTTATATACTGTGTACGACATAAGGAGGACGCATATTTGCTCCCTTCAATGCATAATACTGAAAGTAAGCCCTGAAAGAGTGAGTTAAATATTCACGTCACGTCGGCAATATTTCAGCCATAATGTGACTTGAACAAGTTGTACAAACCCATGCTGGATCGGGTGGTGAGGATCAGTGACTTTGTTGATGCATGTCATCATATCCCAATTGCGCAGATCGATGTTCATGATGTCAATCATTATATTGTCTTGTCCAGACTCGATTATCTACAGACTGCCCTCACATAGCTGGAATACTGCGTTAAACATAAAACAAACCCAAAACAACCAAAACTAATATTGTCATAAAAGTATATAACATTATTTCTCGGCGAAGCCTTGTGGTATAAAGCCAATAATCCGCTGTCGACAGTTGCATCCCTTCGCCGTGCTATGATCTGCTGATTGTGAATTCGAATCACAGATTCGCCAAGAAATAAATCCTTGTATCGATCTGTCAGACACAGACCCATGGATATTTACATTGAAACAAACGCTGATCTCAAGCTAAAATCCCATTCCCCCTCTTATTTACAAGGAAATAAGTGAATATGAACGCCAACATTTCTGTCTTTCAAGCTCTGACATTTGTGCTGTGTCGCCAGGGTTGAGTGATGGCTGGTGAATAATACAGGGATGTCTGACTCAAGCAAACTTGACAAACAGAATTTACAGTCAGACTTGTTCTGTCTTGACAGTAATCTGAAGTCAAATATAACCTGGAGGTTGATTTATAGCCAGATTGGCTAATGAGAACCGCCTTTTGGCATAGGACTCTAGGCAGGTTTATAAAATATTCAAACATGTGATGTTTTCCCATAATTACTATGATGAATATCAGCGTTTATTCAAAATTGAAATTTACCATGCTCAGGGCATGGCGCAACCAGCCGATTGATAGAACCGGGCCCATTCTAACACCCGTCCAGGTGAAGTTAGGGTCCAAGTGGTGTGTTGGGCAAAGGAACCGTCCTCTTGGAACCAGTGCCAGACTACCTTCTTCCACCGATAGAGGGGCGCAACCCACGGCAAACGGGTGGCCCAACTTTTTCGCCTTTTTACGACAAGCAGTAGGGTGCTGGGGACACATTCTACCACGGTTCCCCTCGAGGCAACACTGAAAGATATCATTATTATGTTGAATATATTCTTCACTTTGCTTCATACGGTTTGCCACATGGATTACATTCTTCTCATTCCGGGTAGGAATATAGGTCCCTCACAATCTGTGATTGTCATTTAAATCGCCTAATTGATCGGGCAGTCAGACTCAGTGACTTGGATGATTGCATGTCATTGTATCCAAACAGCGTTGATCGATGCTCTGGATTCTCTGATCCATATTATATTATTTACAGACCACCATTATATACCAGAAATATTGAAATATTGTTGAAGAACAATTAAACATTTTAGTATTCATATGAAATGTCCACCAAAATTGCACAATTCCAACCATATCATGAGCAAGCGTCGATGAATCACCATTAATAGGTGATGATACCAGGTGGTCGCGAAAAGGTGAGCGTATCCTGCCCCACCTGTTGCACCGTCACAAACTGAAGCAAATGCAAGACTTAAAGTTCACTTATTCTTTATTCAGTACAGAAGGAGGCCATCGACCCATGCTACATTGTATAGTACAGTACACAGCTCAGTCCGATCATACATCATGACACCGTCTAGACTTTCAGATCATAATAATAGTTTTCAAACATTCTTTCTGTGGTAAATAAAGGTAGTAAAATGTCTTGAAATTGTTTCATTTGAAGTAGACATGAGTATGTTAAATGTTTCCAGGATGGACATGTCGCAGGGCGCGGAGTCATCCCACAGATGACATCCTTACCTTGTCAGCTTGCTGACGTGGTTAACCTCTTTGGTCATGTGGACAAGGCGTCCGACTTCTAGATCTCCCTAGATCTTCTACATCAAGTATGTGTTCAGCTTCTATTTCTTTAATTTCATCCATACCCCATTTGTTTTGGAAAATAGTGTATAAGGAAGAGGTTTATATCTTAAAGTGATTTCAAGATGGAAAACAGATGGGATGTTACACTATAACAGTTTTGACCAAGATAAATTATTTGCAAAACATGCACCAAAATAGATATATGATGACACCCATTCATTTAGATGAGGACAACACTTTATTAAAGACAACTTTCGTCTTTTCTAGGTTTACTGAATGTGGCGAGTATTTACATTTCAGCTCTGCATGCAATGTGGTGAGCGTCGACATTTCGGGCCTGCATGCAATGTGGTGAGTGTCTACATTTCGGGCCTGCATACAATGTGGCGAGTGTCTACAGTTCGGCACTACATGCAATGTGGTGAGTGTCTACATTTCGGCACTGCATGCAATGTGGCGTGTGTCTACATTTCGGCACTACATGCAATGTGGCGAGTGTCTACATTTCGGCACTGCATGCAATGTTGTGAGTGTCTAGATTTCGGCCCTGCATGCAATGTGGCGAGTGTCTACATTTCGGCTCTGCATGCAATGTGGTGAGTGTCATTTCGGCCCTGCATGCAATGTGGTGAGTGTCTACATTTCGGCACTGCATGCAATGTGGCGAGTGTCTACATTTCGGCACTGCATGCAATGTGGCGAGTGTCTACATTTCGGCCCTGCATACAATGTGGTGAGTGTCTAAAATTACGGCTCTGCATGCAATGTCTTGAGTGCAGCCATTTCTTTCCTGCATGCAATGTGGTGAGTGTCTACATTTCGGCTCTGCATGCAATGTCTTGAGTGTCGACATTTCGGCACTGCATGCAATGTGGTGAGTGTCTACATTTCGGCACTGCATGCAATGTGGCGAGTGTCTACATTTCGGCTCTGCATGCAATGTGGTGAGTGTCTAGATTTCGGCTCTGCATGCAATGTGGTGAGTGTCTACATTCGGCTCTGCATGCAATGTGGTGAGTGTCGACATTTCGGCCCTGCATGCAATGTGGCGAGTGGCGACATTTCGGCACTGCATGCAATGTGGTGAGTGTCTACATTTCGGCACTGCATGCAATGTGGTGAGTGTCTACATTTCGGCTCTGCATGCAATGTGGCGAGTGTCTACATTTCTTTCCTGCATACAATGTGGTGAGTGTCTAAAATTACGGCTCTGCATGCAATGTCTTGAGTGCAGCCATTTCTTTCCTGCATGCAATGTGGTGAGTGTCTACATTTCGGCTCTGCATGCAATGTCTTGAGTGTCGACATTTCGGCTCTGCATGCAATGTGGTGAGTGTCTACATTTCGGCACTGCATGCAATGTGGCGAGTGTCTACATTTCGGCACTGCATACAATGTGGTGAGTGTCTAAAATTACGGCTCTGCATGCAATGTCTTGAGTGCAGCCATTTCTTTCCTGCATGCAATGTGGTGAGCGTCTACATTTCGGCACTGCATGCAATGTCTTGAGTGTCGACATTTCGGCCCTGCATGCAATGTGGTAAGTGTCTACATTTCGGCACTGCATCCAATGTGGGGAGTGTCTACATTTCGGCTCTGCGTGCAATGTGGTGAGTGTCTACATTTCGGCTCTGCATGCAATGTGGTGAGTGTCTAGATTTCGGCTCTGCATGCAATGTGGTGAGTGTCTACATTCGGCTCTGCATGCAATGTTGTGAGTGTCGACATTTCGGCCCTGCATGCAATGTGGCGAGTGGCGACATTTCGGCACTGCATCCAATGTGGTGAGTGTCTACATTTCGGCTCTGCGTGCAATGTGGTGAGTGTCTACATTTCGGCTCTGCATGCAATGTGGTGAGTGTCTAGATTTCGGCACTGCATGCAATGTGGTGAGTGTCTTCATTTCGGCCCTGCATGCAATGTGGTGAGTGTCGACATTTCGGCCCTGCATGCAATGTGGCGAGTGGCGACATTTCGGCACTGCATGCAATGTCTTGAGTGGCGACATTTCGGCCCTGCATGCAATGTGGTAAGTGTCTATATTTCGGCACTGCATCCAATGTGGTGAGTGTCTACATTTCGGCTCTGCGTACAATGTGGTGAGTGTCTACATTTCGGCTCTGCATGCAATGTGGTGAGTGTCTACATTTCGGCACTGCATGCAATGTGGTGAGTGTCGACATTTCGGCACTGCATACAATGTGGTGAGTGTCGACATTTCGGCCCTGCATGGAATGTGGCGAGTGACGACATTTCGGCACTGCATCCAATGTGGTGAGTGTCTACATTTCGGCACTGCATGCAATGTGGTGAGTGTCATTTCGGCCCTGCATGCAATGTGGCGAGTGGCGACATTTCGGCACTGCATGCAATGTGGTGAGTGTCTACATTTCGGCCCTGCATACAATGTGGCGAGTGTCTACATTTCGGCACTGCATGCAATGTGGTGAGTGTCTACATTTCGGCTGTGCATGCAATGTGGCGAGTGTCTACATTTCGGCTCTGCATGCAATGTGGCGAGTGTCTACATTTCGGCCCTGCATACAATGTGGCGAGTGTCTAAAATTACGGCTCTGCATGCAATGTCTTGAGTGCAGCCATTTCTTTCCTGCATGCAATGTGGTGAGTGTCTACATTTCGGCTCTGCATGCAATGTCTTGAGTGTCTACATTTCGGCACTGGATGCAATGTGGCGAGTGTCTACATTTCGGCAGTGCATACAATGTGGTGAGTGTCTAAAATTTCGGCTCTGCATGCAATGTCTTGAGTGTCGACATTTCGGCCCTGCATGCAATGTGGCGAGTGGCTACATTTCGGCACTGCGTGCAATGTGGTGAGTGTCATTTCGGCCCTGCATGCAATGTGGCGAGTGGCGACATTTCGGCACTGCATGCAATGTGGTGAGTGTCTACATTTCGGCTATGCATGCAATGTGGTGAGTGTCTACATTTCGGCACTGCGTGCAATGTGGTGAGTGTCATTTCGGCCCTGCATGCAATGTGGCGAGTGGCGACATTTCGGCACTGCATGCAATGTGGTGAGTGTCTACATTTCGGCACTGCGTGCAATGTGGTGAGTGTCATTTCGGCCCTGCATGCAATGTGGCGAGTGGCGACATTTCGGCACTGCATGCAATGTGGTGAGTGTCTACATTTCGGCTATGCATGCAATGTGGTGAGTGTCTACATTTCGGCCCTGCATGCAATGTGGTGAGTGTCATTTCTTTCCTGCATGCAATGTGGTGAGTGTCTAGATTTCGGCACTGCATGCAATGTGGTGAGTGTCTACATTTCGGCACTGCATGTATACAACAGGATGAAACCTTCCAAATATAAGATAAGCATTATTTACTTTCCGGTTGTCAGAAATGATCTAGGGCCTATTTTAGTAGATGACGGACTGACAAGGTTAAAACCTTTTATAGAAAACTACTTCTTTATTTTGCTGTAATAGCCACGTTTCGGTACAGACCCTTAAATGTCGCTGTTGCACAACATAAAGACGTCCTTATCCACAAAATATGTCAACTTTGTAAGAAAAATATCGCCATAATCAGTCACGTGGAAAACCAACAAAAGGTATAAAGGGGGATCATTTCGATATCCTTGCATCCCGCACTTCTCCCGCAACTGTGTCTGATCTGATCTGTAGCGAAATTGTAAGTACAGTTTTAACATGTTCAACCATTAGTATATCTTCGTAAACCATTAGTAAATCTTAGTAGAGCATGAGCAAATCTTAGTAAAGCATTAGTCAGTCTTGCATTTTTTTACGCTAACCATACGCACTGACAGTGTTGTCAGTTGAACAGGACATGCTTAGCCGAACACGTGCTGCCCTCACTGTTAGTAGGCGATGATTAGAGAGCGAATGAGTGAGTTAGGTTTAACGCGTGTCTTGGTGTGGGAGGAAAGTGATGCAGCTCTCAGATGTTTAGCATTTGGTGAAACTGAAGAGCACGGGTATGGTGCTGACAAAAACCTAGAAACATAATCGGGGCGAACTGGTATTCGAAACCACAATCATAGGTTTATGTTATGCCCACGGGACTTCGCTCAGTACAGCGAATTGCGAATTATCCATAAGCCAATCTTGTCTGTATTGACAGTAGGCATCCTCCGTGGTCTAGTGGATGGAGCGTCCGGTGGGAGATCGGAAGGTCGGTAGTTCGATCCCTTGAGCGGGTCTTACCCAAGAAAGATGGTACTTGTTAAAAGATGGTAGTTGTAGTTAACCTGCCTGGCCCTCGACATTCAGGGGAAAAAATGACTGGTCAACTCGGAGTCAGTATACTGTGACTGAGTTGGGTAATCAATCTGAAAATGCAGCATGGTATCTCAGTGGGCTAGAACTATGACACCAGCATTAGTCCGGATTATCACAAGCACACCACACCCTTCCACACACGCACACGTGCATGCACATCGCTTTATAAGTGCAATAAGCTTGAACGCGACACCTCACTGAGGCTGACTTATATCATTATGGATTTCAATTTCTTTAATTAGTCTTCCCATGCAAAGTAACGAAATGTCGCATAGCAAGAAAAAAGAAGTCAATGCAATGATTCCAGATTGTCGATATCTATGAATTTGTCAGGTCCGTGTTTTGGAACTCGTGTCTGAGAGATGCGAGTACGGGGATACTTCAAATAGTGGTGTCTGTTATAAGGGGCGGTGGGGTTGTCTTGTGGTTAAAGAGTACGCTCGTCACGCCGAAGGCCTTGGTTCGATTCCCCACATGGGTACAATATGTGAAGTGAGTGAGTGAGTGAGTGAGTATGATTTGACGCCGTTTTGAGCAATATTCCAGCAATATCACGGCGGGGGACACCAGAAATGGGCTTCACACATTGTACCCATGTCGGGAATCGAACCCGGGTCTTCGGCGTGACAAGCGAACGCTTTAACCACTAGGCTACCCGACCGCCCCAATATGTGAAGCCTATTTCTGGTGTCCCGCGCCTTGATATTTCTGGAATATTTCTAAAAGCGGCGAAAAACCATACTCACTTCCTGCTATAAACTAGCATGCAGGATAAAGGAATCTAATTATACGTGATTAAATGTAAACGATGTCTTAAATATAAGTCATTCATGTTGTTTGTCACTTGTTTGTCAATTAAATCATGGCAATGAGAGGTAGTGAGGGTTTGATGGCAAGTCTTAACAAGATTTTATCAGCACATGAATAACATTGAAGAGTCTTTCTTACTTCACAGCTATTTGAACAGCAGACATGAAGTTCGCCGTATTTCTCCTTGTCTTGGCATGTGTTTGCGCTGTCGCCCTAAGCGCTCCTCGTAAAAGAAGGTGCAGACGCAAAGGTGAGAACGGCAACGGCAATGGCAACGGTGAGAACGGCAACGGCAATGGCAACGGTGAGAACGGCAATGGCAATGGCAACGGTGAGAACGGCAATGGCAACGGTGAGAACGGCAATGGAGAATGTGACGAAGGGAACAATGATGACAAATATGACGACTCGAACGACAGCGGTAACGGCAATGGCAACGGTAAATAAAACGGTAACGGCAATGGCAACGGCAACGGTTACGACAACGGTAACGGCAATGGCAATGACAACGGTAACGGCAATGGCAACGGCAACGGTAACGGTAACGGCAATGGCAATGGCGGCGGGTAACGGCAACGTTAACTGAGGTCGAACAGATGCTCTTCCAGCGCATCTGTCTAAATGTAAAGTATATGAATGTGACATACACTTTAAGGTAACTGTTTTTGTTCGACGAAACTTATCCATAAACTTGTTGAATTTATATTTCCTACCTTTGAAATGACATGCCGGCAAAGCAGCAATTTATATTTAAATAAGCATGGATGCATTAAACACATGCACAGTTCACGCCACAGGGTATATGGGCAACATTGATTCTCATCATGTCGGTTCGAAAGGCTAAATTGTACTGGTACATGTGATGGTACAAAGTGGTCAAAGCATGTACCATTATGCAATCAGTATCCATTATCCATTATCTCAACTCCTATACCTGTTGGGGATGTTGCTAACATAACGAACTGACCAGTTCTCTATGAAAACGTTTTTGCAACAATGTATTTTTTGTCAACAGTCTGAAGCATAAATCTATTTTTCAAAAATATTCTGGGTTAATTCTCCACTCCCCCTCCCCCATTAAATGGTTCATTAAATCATGTAATCAGCAAATATGCAGCCCTATCACGGTGGCTTGTGAGTAATCGAGTTTGTATAACCGGGGTCGATAGAATGAAGGCTTAACGGTGTACCATGACGAAAACATCAGTTATATATTGTGTTGAGAAATCCAACCATTATACCACCTCACATCCAGTGTGATCCTCAGATCCGTACTGATGATGCACAGCCGGATAACGTACTAAACGTATGCTTTTACTTTCAGGTGAAGCAGTTTCCCAGCGAGCGTAATCATGAATTAATGTCCTGCAATCTTGAATAAATACTTTTCCCTATCTTTCAA